ACCAAGTGGAAGCGGCAGACGGCGGTGGGCCTGGAGCTGCTGGCCGAGGCGGGGAACTACTCGGCGCTGCAGAGGATGTTCCCGTCGCCCTACTTCTACCACCCGAGCCTGCTGGGCAGGCATGGACAGCACGACCGCCGCCGCGGCCGCCGCCGCCATGTACAGCAGCATGTACCGGACTCCCCCCGCGCCCCACCCCCAGCTGCAGCGGCCCCTGGTGCCCCGAGTGCTCATCCACGGCCTGGGGCCCGGGGGCCAGCCGGCTCTCAACCCTTTGTCCAACCCCATGCCCGGCACCCCGCACCCCCGGTGAGGAAGGGGAACAGAGGCGGTGCGGCAGTCCCTCCCTCGCCTCCTCCCCTACTTGGAAGGCTGCGCTTCCTCTCCCCGCACCGGCCCAGGGCCTCCCCGGCAGCCGCCCCGGGACGCCGAGCGAGAGAGGAAGACACTCAGCCAGGGGCGGGGCCCCCCAGGAGCCAGCCCCCCGCGCCCCTCTCCCCACCCCCAGGGACGGGGCTGGAGAGCTCCCACAGCAGCGTGACTGGCGAGAACGCTGACCCCACACAAAGTTCGACCAGTAAGTGAAAACATCAACAAAAAAACCCGAAACCTCAAGTTCTTTTAAAAAAATGACTTTAGGGATCAGGGGGAGGGAGGGGGAGGGGCAAGGAGAGAAGCGAGAAGGGCGCGGAGAGCGAACTGCAGACGGACAGACGGCCCGGGCAGAGGGCGTCGCCGTGGACACTCCGTCTGCCCCAGAGAAAAGAGGAGGGTGACTGAGAATTTTGCACTGATTTCTCATGACCTTTTTTCTTTTGGAAAAGTGGCATGCTCCATGATATGGAAAAAAAGTGTACATTGGAAAGACCGAGTGATAAGTGATATATCATATTTATTATATGTTGTCCAAAAAAAAGAGTCACTTATATACGTTAGTAAAATATGATTTTCCTTTTCATGTCTTTTTGATTCAGTAAAATACATGCTTAGACAAGAATATAGATTTTTTTGTGATTGAAAATGACAAAAAATAAAGTTTATCTTTTTTTAACAAGCGATGAAATCCGAGGGAGCTGATTTTACTAAAGCAGAATGTATTCTGATGAAGCGTCAGATTTGATTTAGAAAAAAAAAAAGAACCCGGGAATATTAAGAATCTGTAAAATCGGTAAAGACGTTGCGTTGACGTGTATAAACACAGCTCCGAGTTTCGTGCTGGCCCCTTCAGAGCCGCTATTATGCGTGATTGCCTTTCTTTTTAAATGGACATTTCAGAGCAGCCGCCGGAGACAGTCCGCGCTTGCAGGCTGCCGGCGATCGCTACGGGAGCGGCCAACTTTCCCAGCCGACGGCCTGCCTGGAACCCCCCACCCCCAACCGGGTCTGCCCGCCCCTCCTCCTCCCCGGGCTCCTCCGGGGCCGCCGGGGTCCCCGGCGTTGGGCGGGCGGCCGCGGCTCCGTGGGCCTCGCAGCTGTTGCGAAGCCTGCGGCCCGGCACGGCGCAGCGGGACAGCCTGCGAGCGGGAGGCTGCCGGGCGCGCAATTAGGACGCCCGGGGGACTCGCAGAGGCCGGGCTAACAAACTCTCGTGGCGCCTTTGATCCTTGCCTTCTCCTTCCCGACGGGCATCCAACCCCCTGCCCGCGCCGAGGCTCTGGTCCGAGTGAACAGGCTGTGCCGGGAAGCCTGGAGAGGGAATGCAACTCTGGCCGGGACTGGCGGGCCAGGCTTGTTATCGGAGCCTCCGGATGAGCTGGGACCACAAAATGAGGGGACCTGCCCGGAGGGTGGAGGAGGCCGCCGCCCGCTTTAGGAGTGTGTGTGAATGGTTAGTAACAGCCCCTCCCCGCCAGCACTCCGTTCTATAAGAGAGGAAAACTGAATGGGGCGGGGGGAGGAGCAGTAGGGGCTGCGCCCATCTCAAGCACTTAGATGCTTCCCGAGGAGCCAGAGGGGAGGATCTCGCATCTAAGTATCCCCAGACCTCTGTCCTCACTCTTGTCCTAGAGCAGGGTCACAGGGGTAAGACACACCGCTGAACACATCCACGCCGGTCCTCCAACTTTCTTGGGTGTTTGAACCTTAGTAGAGTTAAAAAAAACATTTTAAAAACGGCGGTGTGTCTGTCGTGGGAGTGTGTGTTGGGGAGGAGAGGGAAAGAAGAAGGGAAGAAGTGAAGTCCAGGAGGAAATGACCTCGGCGCCTTGATCAGACCTTTGCTAATTAGGGACTGGTTTGCAGATTTCTCTCCAGGTCGTCAATTTGTTTTAAAAAATGGTCTTGGTCTTGTTGGATTCTAACAAAAGGGCCTGGCCTGCCCCTTTCCTTTTCTGCCTGCTGAGCCGGGGGAACGCAGGCAGCTGGCGGGGGCTGGAAACTGGGTGCCTCTGTGGCCAGTGGGAATGCCAGTGCCAGGGCGCTCAGCAGATGCTCCTCGCGCCATCTTAGCTGCTGCTGAGTTTTACAGTCCAGTTTGAGTAATTACCAAATGGGCTGCCTGGGCCTGGAGGACACTTCCCAAGGCTTGGGGGCTGGCTCCCACAGCCTCTGTCTGCACTGGTCCTGGGGCTGGTCAGCCTTGGCACAGGGGGGCCTGCAGTTCACACATCCCAAGTTCCCCACCAAGAGTGACTTCAGGTCCAGTTGAGAAAAATACACTAAAAAAACCCCTACAAATACAAACAAAGCTGTAGCACCCATCTGCTGCCAGCAGCTCACCAGCCATTTTGCTGAGGAGCCTGCCACTGCCCCTTCACTCTCAAGGCTGAATTTGGGCTCCAGAGATGGACAAAGCACGATATCTACAGAAACCAAGGTTTCTTAGTTAACCTCATATTCCACTGCTGCTAGCAGCCGCTCTCTATCCATCAGAGTCCTCCCAAAGGTGCTTTTCTTCAGTCATATTCTCCCTACCCCCCAACCATGCCCCTGAAAGTGTCAATTCTTCTAAATGTGATTATTTCCTATGGCATCTAAGTTAGGCAAATTGGATGATGGAGGTGGGGTTGTCCCAGGAAGAAAGTTGAGTCCTGGATTCCATTTTTGTTCCCATTCTTTTCTTTCTATAGCAGTATTACAAAGGTGACTCTCAGCAGGCGACCCTCGCTTCAAATGTCCCCAAACTATTGCTTACAAGTTAAACGCAAACCCAGCCCTTTCCTGTAGAAGAGGCCCCTCAGTCCTTCCGCGCCTGCCCAACAAAGTGGGGGCGGCTTGGCTAGGAGGGGATGAGTGCAACCCCAGACTTTCTGAAAAGCAACGAACAAGATAACGGGCAAAGGCCTCTTCTCAGGGGAGTTCTAGAGTTAGTTGCGAAGGCCCAGAGGAAAGCTGTCCCTGGGAGCTGCGCTCCTTGTCTTTTCCCACCTTCAGCGGGTGTCTGAAGGGCACTCCACAGCTAGACTCCATTTGGTTTGCTCCTTTGATGAAGTTGGGGATTGGCAAAACGGTCTTTCTGTGGCAATCTCTGCTGGCTACAGAAACACAGGAGCACGGACTTCTTTAAGAGAGATGTTTAAACACCCACAAAGGCCCCTTAGATTTGCTTTGGGACCCCAGCAAACCAAGCACGAATCCGTAGTGAGTGTGAAACAAGTTAACTCCCCAGCTACCAGCTCCTCTGAGCTCTGGCCAGCCGTTTTCAATGAAGTGCAAAGTAATGATTGCTGTTTGCCTCCACGCCTCCAGCAAATATACCTACCACCCCGTGTCAGTTTATTTTTGCTCCACCCCTTAAAATGAAAGCTCACATGATGGCAAATTAGATAGCTGATTTCCTCTGTTGCGAATAAAACGGCTTACCCTCCAACCAAGACTCCCCTCCTCCTCCCTCCTGCCCTCTGACTCCTGCTTAGGCAGCCCTTCCCCAGAAGTCTGCCGGATCCGACCTCCCCTCTCTAAACAGGCAGCTTGCGAGTAGCTTGTTTTTGCTGTATTTTTAACTTTCTAAAAATATTTGGAAAAGCTCTCCCCAGGGCTAGGGAAACTTTAGCTCCGGTTAAGCCACGTGGTTACAAAAATATACGGAGAGAGAGCTGCTCGGTTTTCTAAAAAGCCAGCCACGGTGTGAAGTCAACATACTTGGAGAGAGACTACTTTTTGCCACTGGTGAGAACAGGAGCAGGACTGAGCCTCCGAAAGGACTGATGTTCCCCCCAGAGCCGTGGGTCCTTGGTGAGGGAAAGCGGGCTTGTCCTGCCCTTGACAGTTGTCTAGAGACGTGTGGGAGGAAGAGTGAGTGTGGGCTTTCCCAGGGTTTCCCCCGTGGATCCTGGAAAAATGCCTCCAGGCTTCTTGAGGCTCCTACCAGGTCTTTGTCCAGTCCCACTTCCTCAGCCACTTCCAGCCATTCTCTCTACCACCCCTTTCCCTGGAGTTGGGTCGCCCGCCCAGGGTCCACTGCCCCTCCCTTCTTATTTCTGGCAGGCTGAACACCCCCAGGGCTGAGTAGGGGTCCGTGTGTGGGGTTGGGGGTATGTGCTTTCAGAGAAAGGGGGTGGTTCTGGCTTCTTGCATTGGAAAAACAGGTCGGTGAGATGACTCAGAAGGGACTTTTCCCTCCCCGCCTTACGGCTGAATTTTGAAGGTGTCTGTCAGTCTGAGTGTTGCTGGGTGGACCGTTTCGGCCAACCTGGCGTTCTCAGTTTCTCTCCTCTCTGTCTTTCCTGGAAACCCCCTGCTTCCCTCGCTGGGTTTTTCTGTCCCAGCACCACAGACAGCTCCCCGGGCGCGCGGAGGAGCCAATGCCCGGGGCGGGCGGGTTCCCGACAAAGCAAAGGCGACCGCAGGGGGCGCGCCGGGTTAGGGTCCGCGCTGCCCGCGGAGGGCGTCCGCGAAGCGATTACAAAGCGACCTCCCTGGCAGCGTTTCCTGATTAACCCTAAGTCAAAACAGGGGCCTGTTCCAAAGAACAAAATCTGCAGATCAATAAAGTAATTCACAAACCAAAAGATCTCGGGGTAAGTAGTGCTCAGTGACAGATCGACGCTAACCCGTCCCTGTTTAATAAGTTCTTAGTGGAAGCCGACCCGGGGGGAGGGGGGACTCAGGCTGCTGCTTCGAAGCCCTCGCGCCGCGCCCGGCGAGGTCGCCAGTGGAACCCCCTCTAAAGGGCACTTTCCACGTCCTCCGCTCGCGCAGCCTCCGCCGAGAGAAGCCCCGGAGAAGCGCTCCGGAGGCGGCCGCCCTGAGTTCGGGTTGAGCCGAGGCCCTGATCTCCGCCGCAGGCAGCTCCCAGCCCGTATCTCCCCCGCGCGGGTATGAGACTCTCCCAGATCCGGCTACTGTCCGGCCCTGGACCGCGCGCGGGTCGCC